ACTTTAGTTTTGATGGGATCCATCTGATGGCATTCTGCCTTCTGAGTTTTCTCTGAACTCCTTCCACCATCATGATGTTAGGTGGTGGTGTGTTGGTAGGAGGCAGGCAGAAGCCCTGCAAATACTATGGACTTGTTTGCACCACAGCTGTAGATGTCACAAACACTCCTGTGAAATGTATTGTGTGCTTCCACTGTTGTAAGAGGACACACTGTCCTGCTGCAGGTTTATTTTTTTCTGAGCAAGGCTAAGCATTTTTTATCCTACACCGGCTCACCCTGCATTACTGGTATGGAGCAAGCACTAGGGAAGCACCTGTATCAGTATAATCTATCCTTCCCAAGCACTCACAACATCCCTGCTTACCCTGAGTGACAACTGAGTGCAGTATCTCTGTTGTCTGTCAAAAGACATACCTGCTTCCATGTAGGACTGAGAATATTTAATGTGGGCTGAGCAAGGCTTGGGTTTGCTAACTTCCCAGTCCAGGTCAGACCCAAGAGCCTTATTTCCATGTACATTTTAGCTGCCGAGATCAATAGATAAATAGATAACCATGATGAGCCTTATGATACTACACTACTCACTTTAGAAGAACAGGTTACAAATAAATAACTAATATTAATGTATTTCAGTTACATTTGAGTAGGTAAAAGTGCTGCTGAAACATTTTTTTCAACCAAAATTAATATTTTGTGGGCATTTTTCATTTTAGCTGTTCTAGTGCAGGTTTTTGTGGACAACATGAAAACAAAGGTCAAGAATACTACTATTTCCAATTTTTATTTCTAATTGAACCAAACATTGCTTGTAATACTTTTTGATAAAGGTGATTTTTGCAAAATCCTCTCTGAGAAACAATTTGCCTTTAAAAAAAGCACATATCATACAATTAAAAATGTCCACTCATGTGTATGTGTTTAAACTACCACTAGTTATTTTATGAGGCTAACCATTCAGCACTATATTTTTCATTACAGTCCATCACACATTAAAAGAAGGCTGAATGCAGTCAGTAGCAGTCATGGATCTGTGTTGCCATCCTAGTTCCTCCTATTCTGAAACCGAGGGAAAGTTCTTATTCATATTCCTCCTTGCTTTTGTGACTGATCTCATCTGGGTTTTTTGAAAGCCTTGATTTTAGAAAAGATGATAGCACCCTTTTCTTTTTTTAGTGAAAAAAACCCAGCAATATATTTTGGTTGGGACAGATTCTGTCTTACAAAGAATACTGAGCCCTTCAAACCCTGCATTATATGCCTACTTCTCTTCAGCTGAGTCCTGTGAGTAGTAACAAGTCACTGAATCGATTTGGTTCATCCTGAGAAATGCACAACCCCCCAAGAAAAACACTAAATAAAATTTGTTTTTAGCCACAAATCCATCTTATTTTTACTATTCACCTACTTTCAGATAGTCTGAATTTCCAAGGATTTGATTAGTAGTTGTTATTAAGACCCCCCCCCCCGGGATTTTGTTTTATTGCGACTCATTGCACACACTCACATCAGTAATTTTGTGTTTAATCTAACTAGATGCTTATAACCAGCTTTTCTTGTGGATCCGGGAAATTAAACTCGCTTTAACTGTGAATTGCGAGCAGTGTTTCACGGTCAGGGGAGGGGCTGTCGGGTTAGTTTTATGCCCTCGCCTCCTCCCCATTTGCTCTCAAGTTTAGGAGTCACTTGGCTTGCACGCCGGGCACTGTAACTGTTCCACTGCACAATGGGATCAAAATTCACTCTAAGCCACCTGACTGCCTGCTGTTGCGAGAGCGGCGGGGAGAGGCGGAGGGTGGGGAGGCTGGAGCTTTGCTGCCAGTGAGATCACAGCCGGCTACTGCCCTTCTTAGGGGAGCGGTGGGAAGAGGGGAGGAGCCGGCCACGGAACCCTCCAATCCGAGGTGCTGGGGGAGGGTCAGGGTAGGTCTATAATGCCATTGATACTGTGATCAGAAGTCAGACAATAACAACAGACCCAAAGAGCAAAGCTCAACAGATCCCACCTGCTCATGCAACAGTGGCAACCCGGTGCCACTGCTTCTCTCCCTCTCGTCTTCTCTCTGCCTCTGTCATCATGATGTCTATGAACAGCAAGCAGCCTTTCAGCATGCATCCGATCCTGCATGAGCCGAAATATACCCACCTGCACACCAGCTCAGAGGCCATCCGGAGAGCCTGCCTGCCAGCCCCTCAGGTAAGCCAGCCCAACAGCCCAGCAAGTCACTCCGGGCTGAGCTGCTTTGTGCCCGCCGCGAGCGGGGAGTTTGCTTCCTGGGGCATCTCCCGCGCGCGCCCGCCCGCCCCGTCTACGCACTGCCAGACAGAGCAGTCCTGGCCCGCAGGTGGGCTGCTCCCGCGGACGCACTTCGCCCCAGGCTTCGCCATCTCCGTGGGCTGGGGAGCCGGCTGTCTCCTCAGCACTTCCTCCTCTTCTTTTTGGAATTAAAAAAACCCAAACGCTTTTTTTTTAACGGACAAATTCAGTTCATCAGACCCTCCCGGTCTGGCCAGGGGATGAATTTGTCAGGCAGGTCGAGCCCTACTCATGTATTTCCCCCTACAAGGTGCTCTGGAGGAAAGGAGTGCGGATAGCGGGCAGACAGCCGCTGGGAAAGATGGTGGGTTAGGAGATAAGGCGACTAGCTCTTTGGCGGGGTTGCAGTGAGCAGGGAACTGGTCCCCCTCTTACCTGGCCGTGGTTTTGCAAGCGAGGTC